CTTTTACAAGAGGGACTGGAACAGATCGTGGGCCCACTGACCCGAACCTTAAGGGCTTGTATCGCGATGGGCTACACACCCAGCGCATGGAAACTGGCCAGGGTAGTTTTCATTCCGAAGGCGGGAAGAACGAGCTACACCAAGGCAAAGGATTTCAGGCCAATTAGCCTAACATCGTTTCTCCTTAAGACATTGGAGAAGCTGGTGGACGCGTATCTGAGGGAGACAACTCTGTGGAGTCACCCTCTCCACAAGAATCAGCACGCGTATCGTTCGGGCTATTCCACCGAAACTGCTCTATATCAGACGGTAGCGTTTATTGAGGAGCAACTGGAAAGGAGGGGCTACGCGGTGGGTGCTTTCTTGGACATAAAGGGCGCCTTTAACAACACACCGCACAAGGTAGTGTGTGAGAAAACCGCCAGAAGGGGTGTCCCAATAAAGCTCGTTGAGTGGATCCGGGGCATGCTAGGGAGGCGTGTGATGACTTCGCTGGGAACTGCGAAATCTGTGGGTGGGTGGGAAGAGGCTGCCCGCAGGGCGGAGTACTTTCCCTACTTTTATGGTGCCTGGTAGCAGATGGTTTATTAAGGGCACTAGACGATAGAGGCTTCACTGCACAAGGCTACGCGGATGACGTGGCAATACTTGTGCGAGGCCCGTTCCTAGAGACGCTTCTAGAGCTCATGCAGGGGGCACTGGAAGTTGTAGAAGAGTGGTGTCAGAGGACAGGTTTAGCGATGAATCCACTGAAAACCGGTCTTACTGTCTTCACTCGCAAATACAAGGTAGGCACCATTGTGGGACCCACTCTTGGAGGAGTAAGGTTAGTTCCGACCGAATCGGTGAAATATTTGGGAGTTATCCTGGATAAGAAATTGCTTTGGGAGGAGCACCTTCGTAATCGGTGCAAAAGCTTGTGCCAGTATTTTTGGACGTGTAGAAGGACCTTTGGCCAGACTTGGGGCTTGAAACCGAGTATGATACACTGGATCTACACAGCCATACTTTGCCCCAGACTCACATACGCAGCCGTAGTATGGTGGACTAGAGTGCAAAAGAAAACAGCCAAAGTTGCGCTGGAGCATGTCAGGGCTCTG